AAGCAGACTGGAACGGTAGAGATCATTGCTAGAAAATAAATTGAATTCATGCTTTGAAATCTAAGATGCATTTATAAAAAAAAAAGAAAAAACATCGCTATCTCATTCGATTTGAATACTTATGGCTTTACTTTAAAAGTTTCCTATATTTTTTAATTAAATATAACTCATATTTAAATGTTAAAATTAAGGATTCTCAAAACTGTGTGTTTAGCACAAAATCAGCCCATTGAGTTCTATATCGAATGATACATAGATGAATTTAGAAATAATTATTTGATAATGAAAAATTAATAAAATAGTAAATATGTCTTAAACTTTGAAGTTTTACCTTGTTTGATTTGTCGTTGAAACTATTATATTCTATTCAATATTATATATATATATATATTTTTTTTTAAATTCTTAAACTCACTCCTATAATCTGAACAATATCTGTGTTCAAACGATTAATTGTATAATTAATTGAATAATCTAAAAGAATTGATTTTGTACTAACAATCATTATTGGAATAATTGTATAAGCTTCAAGAATAAATTTAAAATATTTTTGACTATTTTTTTCTAAGATATATATTCTATTAATATCAAATAATGGTTTAAAATAAATATATGAACATAAAGATTGAACAAACATTGAACAAGATAATGATTGTTTATTAATATTTAATAAACATTGACTTATATTAAAATCAAATTGAGGTACAAATAGATTTTGTATATTTTCAAAAATCGAAACACATTCTTTTTGTAGTTGAAGATTTATGATAGATGGAAGAAATGATTCTTTTCCATATAACCATTCATCTTAAAAGAATTCGATCAATTTTCTTTAAGAATTTGTTTACTATAAAAAAAAAACCCGAAAGGAAAAATGTCGAAAATTTCACTTAACAAAAAGGATGGGAGTTCTAGTCTTCTCTTCATTAATACTCACATCCACCCACCATCTATGGGCTACATTTAGTGAACGTAAGCTATGATATATATATATGAACGTGACCAACCATCCTCACATCCCAATACTGATTTGTGCCTGTAGCTTCAATCAGATATTAGAAAAATAAGATTCTTTTTTCAAAATTAGTTATAGTGCATATATAATGCTAATGATGTGTTATTGCTGGAGGTATATGTCTCATTAGAAACAAGAGTTGTCTAGTGTTTCCTTATAATCATTTAAATCAATGTATTTCAGATATAATTTGTTAACATACATCAATTCTTACTCAGTAATGTCGTCATTCAGAGAAAAAAAACAGACCTCATAGAGGTGAATTAACAATTGAAGACAAAGCTTCAACCTTGATATTAATTGTGCGAGAGCGGCTACACAAAAATATTAATCAACATCTCAACACTTATGATATTTCGATTGATGATTATCAGAAGATAACTAAGATTGTATACGTGGTTTCCACTTTAGGCAATCTGAAATTAAATAAACAACTTATTTGTAAGTATACAATGTGATAAACTAGTTGTATTTCTTGATTAACTATTTGATAATAAAACTTTGTTGTTGATACTTCAGGTTGTTTTGATTTTCTTAGCGAGAATTTGTCTATTTTAACAAATTAGATGTAAAATACATTAAACTAGATGATTATAAGGAAATACTTCACAACTCTCATTCTCCGTGAGACATAAAGCTCAAATAATAACACATCATTAGCAGTATATATGCACTATAAATAGTAAAAAAGCCTTTTTTTTTCTAATATCTGGTTAAAGCTACATGCAAAAATAGATACTGAGATATCAGAGTGGTCGATCACACCCACATATATTCTAACAATACCAACTTCAGTCCTTACATGTATCCTATATCGATATTATATCGTGACAGCTTGTGAAACTCCACCCTATTTTCTTCAACACACCAGCTGGAATGTCGTCAATTGGCGAATATCCTTTTGGTGAACTTCTGACCACTCTCCATAAAGAGTGTTGAAATATAAAGTTAAAAATTTGATATCTACAAAAATGTGATCGATGCGAAAAATAGTCAAACAATTTATAATAAACGAACAAAAATTTTCAGGTGTTTGAAATAAAAATGAACCTCAATTCATAAATTTGTTTGTAATCTTTCTAATTTTTTGTGATAATACAGTGAATGTCGATCATTTTCCAGAACATTTATTTTTAAATGACCAAAAAAGTAAAAATCAACGGTGGAGATGATGAGTCTTGTTGCACTCCTCATACCAACACCTATATCTACACTCACATCCAATGTCTGTGGATGTAAAAGTTTTAGTTTTCAAAAGTAATTCTAGTTCATATGCTTCTTTATAGTGATTTCCAATTTACTAATAATGTCTTCTACCTTTTTTTATATTGGTTTAGCTTATTCGTGTGAATTGAAGGATTTATTAAACAAAGCTTTTCGCCTCGACCATTTTGACTTTTCCAAAAAAAATTTGAACTCTCCCCTCCATCATTCCGCAGACCATGTGAGATGTTGTTGATATGCGAACAAAGACCGTCTATCATCTAAAGTCTCGTTATACTATATGAAAAAGTGCCTTATTTTATTTCCGGAGAACTAAGTAAAAAGATGGTAAAGAAATATTTGCCAACATAGATTCAATAAAACAATTTTTCTGTGATTAGCAACAGCAGCTAAATTGTGTTTTATATCTAAATCCCACAGGAATTATGTTAACAGCTTTTTTTTTTGTTTTCTATTCTACATTTATTCATTAGACATTTTTCCTTTCGACAACGAGCCTAAGAATTAATCTTACTATTTTTAGTTCTAATAAAAAATTCATTATTCGAAAGAAAAATATAATCAATAGTTATATTTAAACAATAGATTTTTTTCGTTCTTAATGTTATATTATCATAATCAATATTAAGATTTGTATAATAATTTTTCAATTGATCTTCATTCATATAATCTAAATAATCAAATTGACAACCATTAGTTGTCACATCAGATAAAATAAGACCGCCATTTATTGTATAATAAATCTTTTTTTCATCCCAAATGAAAAAAGCATTATGAAAAGTACTTGATGTAATGTATAAAGTATCACCAGTAAAATTCATAAATGTAGATTTTTGAAAACTTGAATTCAATTCTAAGAATGATTTATGAAAAATAACTGCCTAAAAAAACACGACTCTTTTCCTTTTTGTTTTGTCTTTTTAGACACATATTAAATAATAATTCTCTACTTTTTCATTTTGATATTTAATAATACATATAAGCAGTGGTATAGAATGAGAAAGTTCAAGATAAACAATTGTACATTGATCTAATTGACAAATCTGAAAGTATTTTTAAAAGATAAATATTTAATATTTATTCTATTTGAAATTTACAGTTTGAGATTGAAAAATATTTCCAAAATTATAAACAACTGTCATTGTTTTCAAATAAAAAAGTATTACATTTCCAAATTTATTAGCTAAAATAATATAATCATTAAATATATGACTTAAAGAATGATAATTAATAGATTTAAGACATGTACAACAAGGTGTTGTAAATACATAATCGATCTTATTAAATAAAATTGGTACATCTAAATAATTTAATAGAACAAAATAAAACAAAATAATTATTTGAATTTTTCTTTACTAGAATAACGTAATAATCTATAAATAATATCATTAGTTTTTGATGAACTTATTAAATCTTGTGTACGAAATAAAATTTCATTAATAATTAAAATTAAATCATTATTTAAATAAGCTATTGAATTAACTATTGGAATCTTAAAATAAAATTATTTTTCTTTTTATTCTATATATAAAAAAAAAATTATTTTTATTTTAAGAATATAAATACTTGTGTGTCAAAAATTTTTCGAGCAACACATAATCGTTTCCATTGTTGTTGTTCTCGATCATATTTATATAAACTATAATTACGTATAAGAATTGATTTATCTGTATAACATGGATTTGTAATAACAAATGTTTTTAATATGAAATAACGAAGAGGTATATATTCTTGAGAAATACTTTTATTTGAATTACCTAATGATATATTACTATAAAATTCATCCAGTGAAAAAACAAGATTAAAATTATTATTTATAAGGTATAGAACAATGATGAATAATGATGAAGTCATATTTCATTGAGAATTAATTATATCTCGGCGCCAATGAATGAGTCGTCATATATATTTGATTTGACATAGAACAGCTCGCCAGGGATCTATTCAATTCGTGATTAGGTATGTACATTAGATCCAACTGAAATTATTATATTATTCCTTGAATATCGGTAGTAGAATATATTAATAGATTCAATTGATTAATTGTTTTTCTGTCAGAATTACACGTATTATTTAAGTTCAAATGAACTACAAATACCTTGAAAAGAGTTCTGGCCTTTAGCATATGACGGCGGAGATACTTCAACAATACAATTTTTTTT